TTTTATAGTTAGTGAAAAAAGCCTTAGTTATGGATATTTCAACCTGTCAATTCCTGACTGTAACTCAAAACCAAAACTTTGAACTGAAATATTTTTTGTTGTGTTTTAGTAACGAATCTATCGGTGTGACAACTGGCCGAGCTTTCTGTGGTGTGGTGGGTCACAGAGACAGACATGAATATACAGGTACACTGTTATTACTGTACTCTATTTTTTTTTCTTTTTCTAGTATTTTTTTGTTAGAATTATTTTTCTTAGAACCAATCCAATATCACGCTTTACGAATGTCCTCTAAGGCTTGATGATTACTGCGCAATTTGTTTTCGATAGTGAGATCTTGATCACTTAGCCCTGTTCACACTACGCCGGAAGAAATTTGAAAACGCAACAAACACCAGTCATTTTGGATATGTGTTTGAGTAAAACTTGGGCAGTGAAATATCACGATTATCGTAACCACACTCGTTTTCGAAAAGCTTCGTTTCCAAATTGCTTTTCGTTCCGGCTAAAACGCATAGCCGGCGTTTTCAAATTCCTCCGGTTTGAAGAGCATTTTCGAAAAGCTCCGTTTTTGTGACGAATTAGTGTGGACAGTAGGCCTAACCGGAGAAATAAGGTTGCGTTTTCAAATTTCTCAAATTTCTACTAGTCTTAGCTATTATATGTTTATATCTTGTAATTTTTTTAATTTCAATTTTCTTTCGCTTAAAGTTATTTTTCTCGGTAAATTAGCATAATCTTGCTAGAGGCCTAATCAGCCTCATCAACCCGAGTGGAAATAAAGTTATCTATCTTATCTATCTATCTAGGGTGGACGGGGCCTTAATGAAGTTTAATGAAATGAGACATCGGTTTGTGTCACGCCTCGCAGTTCGGAGCATCTTAAAATCTCGTAACTGTCTTTTTTTTATTATGTCTGCAAGTTTTGTGTTTCTATCAGATCATTTGAGATCGAAAATGATATATTTTTTTTCTCTTGCACACTAGTGAAGTTAACTCAGCGTTTTCTGTCTTTATATTTTAACAGTTATCGGCCGAAAGGTAAACATGGCCGCCAGGCTAATGGTAAACTATCCCGAGGTCTTGTCTTGTGATGACGACACGTACAGATCAGGAAAGTCGAAGTTAAAGAAAGAAGATTTCGTCATCTTGCCTTTTGTAAAGCTGAAAGGAATTGCTGAACCAGGAACAGTCAGGGAATACAACAAACATCACGAGTGAGTGATATCTGACAACAGGCCATTACAGTTATGTGCTCAGTTACCTGGCCTATAAATGAAAGCGAGGCCTTAGGTGACCTTGCCTTGATACAGACGTCTCTGCTTTTCTAATTTAAATGCAAACTAGTTAGCATTAGAACATCTTGATTTACAAACCAAAAGCAGCGAGGTCTGTATCAAATCATAGTTAATAGAGGGGAATGGTTATGAAACTCGACAAAGTTCTTTACTGTACAATTTTGTTCTCATTTTTAGCCTTGACCGTGCACAAAACACAGCAGTTGTTTACTATTGACCAAGGAGCCAACCATTAGAAATGTTTTGATTACGTCGCTCAGGCATAGTGTATGAACGCAAAACAAAAGATTTTACATGGTCGTGGACCTTCCAACATAAATCTAGCCATTTTTGTTTGCTCCTCTGATGTTTGCCGGGCTTCATAACCAGTCCGGTCACCCCCAGCCTCGCTACCATTCAAAGTTCGGGTCAACTGTAAAATGGTCTATTTGAAAGTTTCTTGCTACAATCATTCGAAAACAATGATTTCAGTGGATTCGCTTAATTATCATCTGTTTATGTCTGCAGCCGAGAAGTTGAAGAAGAAGAGTATGAATATCCCATTCTAGGTTAGTATTCCTCTCTGTAATTAAGTTATGATGTTTCATTTTTAAAAGGAAGTGTTTAATAACGCTCCTGTGTTTCCATAGAGTTTTAGTTGTAGCGTACAACTAGTGCAAATTTGTTCGAGTTCTCTCAAAATTTCATGAGCTTTTCTATTTTAAAGAATGAACCACTGAGAGATTTGCCACAAGATGATGTTTTCCTTTTTATGACGTAAACACTCGAAATGCCATTGTAAAAACAATCATTGGAGTCTATTCAAAACTGAACCAGATAAATAATTCCATCGTCAATCAATCAATAGTTCAGATACGTTAGTATGGCTAACTTTTGAACTTATTTGGTAGGATTTTATGAAAGTAGTTGTTGTCGAACTTTGAAACTCATGTAGCAAAAAAAAATTCGCTTCGAAACGTACAGGTCGAGGAAAGGAGATAAACGACATGAGGGAACTATTGCACGCCATTAAATGTGACGACACTCATACAAGTGGAAATAGAAGAGTTGTGGTGATAGAAGGAGAAGGAGGAATTGGAAAAACCAGAGTGCTGGAGGCGCTTATGGACATTGCAGAAGATGAAAACTTCAAGTAAGAAAGGTTCTTGAATCTACCAAAAAAAAATCAAAACAAAACAAACGAAAAAAAAAAACAGCATTTAGGGGAGAGAAGACTTAGTATGAAGGGATGCTATCGTATATCAGATTAGGAACGTCAAGCTATCACCAACTGTAATGTTGTTAAACGCAAAGGCAGTTAAACATTACCCGGCCCGGTTTTAAGCTTTCTGTAGCTTCTAACGTGGTTGTCTTTATTGTATTGATGCG